TTTTAAAATCATTTATTCTGCTCAAAAATTATAAATTAAAATAGCAACTTAAATATACGAGTATATGCAAATATTTATTTGACAATAAATTCATTATAAATACGACCATAATTTTCTTTCTCAATAATCCAAAAAAAAAAATAAAATATAAATTTATAATAAAAAATTTAAATAATCAGTAAAAAGATATTATTAAAATTTTAATTCATATGAAACGGATATCGTGAATTTGAGACTTTTCAATTTTCTATTCCTTAAGGAAATTATATAAAAAATTTACAAAAATTACAAAAAAATATTTATAAAAATAAAACAGTTGAACAGGAAATTGAATGAATCCCTTTTTCAATTTATTAAATTATTCGTATTTTCTTTTACATTCTAAATTTTTATATAAAATTTGATAAATTAAAAATTCAATAGACTTGTCTAGAGACTCACGATAATCGAGGTAAATAAATAATATAATAAAATACTTGTAAATATTTTAAAAATATATAAAGAAAAATTACAAAAAAATTTAAATTGTGAAAAAAATTTTTATTAAACATTTTTTTTATTATACATTTAATAAAAATGAAAATTGTTTTTTGAGTTTTATATATGAAACCGGAATGGATTTTCTTAATTTTATTTCCGATTGAAAATAATTTAATATTACCATTACTATTATTTATTCATATTAAAATGATTATGCATTCAAATAATTTATTTTAATGAGTAAATAATGTAATTAATATTTTATATGAACAAATATTTTATATGAACAAAATAGAAGGTGCAGGAGACGGTGGCTCATTTTCTGTACTTATCCCCAGCTTTGGTACGGGGAAGGTGGAGGAGGTTTCTTGGGTCGCATTTCTTTTTGCGAGTTACGGACTTGGTGAATGTAAATGCCAAGGATCTAGTCCAGTTTATAAAAGATTCGGGCTGGTTCCCGTGAGTTTGGGGATATGGAGATCCAGCGGGATGACAACAGGCCTAAGTGCATCCTTGAATGGCCACGTCAACCTAAACCTAAACCTACACCTAATTGGACAAAGTATAGTGTATATTAATTTTGTTTTTAAAAATGATTGAATCATTAATAAAACTAAATTTTCAATAATAAACATAAAATTTATTTTGATCCTCAAATCGTTATAATTCTGTATACAATTCAATTGTACTGTATTGAATTAGAATTCAGTTTATAAGAGTAGAGCTTCATATATTTTTTAGTAATATAGAAAAATTGAATGCAGAAATTTTAAAGTTAACAAATATGTATATAAGTTAGAATAGGTTAGGTCGTTGCGGCCCCCCAAAGGATACACACAGACCACAATTGTGGTACTGCCAGGTCTCTACTTTTCCGCTTCAAATACGAACTAGCTCCTCAAAAATCCGTTCAAATTCTTAATGCTTAAATTCGCTAAGTCCGTAGTGCGCCCGAAGTAGTAAGACCTAAGAAATCTCTGCCAGGCTCTGAAAAGTGATAGGGAATTGTGTATTAGAATTTTATAAGAATTTTATTTCGATAACCTATTTTAGAGAATTTTACAATCGATAACTTATAAAATTTATAATTTCAAATTTCTATATAATTGATTCTGGCTCAAAACATTGTATCCATTAAATAAATTTAATATTTATTAATTTTGAAGTTGTGTAAAAAATGTTAATCAAAATACATACATAGAATTGCATCACAACATGCGTATAAATTATAAGAATTAATATGATAAGAAATTTTTAAAGAAAAATCCTATACCTCATTGTTTACAACGAATATCCCACTAAAATAATAATTGTTATATAATTTTAATTACATAATTTGAAAAATATTTCTCATAGGAAATTCTCATGAAATTTCAATTTAATTAAAATTTTCAAATAATTATAGCAAAATCCAAATTACTTTTAAATAAAATATTGATAGTTCTTACATATAAGTATTTGCTACAATCATATAGACTCTAAAATTAAATGCAAAGTTCAATATCTGGGGTTTCAGTCAAATTTTTTCACAATTTGGAAGAATAATTTATGTAAGATTTGTTTGAATTTGATAATTTTATTTTATTTATTGAATGACTTAATAATTTTGCCTTGTTTTTTTTTATTTATTCATAAAATGCACATAATGTACTTAAAACTGCATGCTTATAAAAGTTTTAGAAAAAAGTAAGGGAAATTATTTAATCTTTGTTTTGAATGAATTTGCTTTTAAACTTAAAAAATTTCTTTTTCAATTATTTTGCAATTTTATTTGATTTTTTTGAAATATTAAGTGTAAAATTTTTCCAGTGCTCGAGGACAGATTTTTTTTTTAAATGTATTGTGAATTTCTTTTATGCTTTTGTTTCCTCTATGATTAAATTTTCTTTATTTAAGTTTTACATTTTATTTTTTTTTTTTTTAATAATCAGTAATTTTTTTATGAATTATTTCTAATAAATATTTAATATTAAAATTTAAATTAATTATGCTAATTTCGTTTTTTTTTTTTTATTATTTACTCAGTAATTTTAAAAATGAAACTTTGAATTTGATGTTTTTTGTTACTTCTTTTTTTTTTTTTTAAATTTCGTTTAACATATTTATTTTTTTTGTTATTTTTAACATTGCTGTTTAATTGAAATTTAAGATTTTTTTTTGTTGTTCTTTTTACGATTTTTAATTTTTTCTTATTAGGGTTTTCTTTGTTAAGCGAAACAATTTTTTATTAAAAATTTTGAATTAATTTTAAAGTTACAAATATTTTTTACAATATACATAAATATTTTTTAATATAAATTTTATTGTATTTTTAATAAATTTTATTTGTTTTTGCATTCGTCATTTTGCGCTGTTTTATTTTGATTCCTTTAAAAGTTTCTTTAAAAATTTTTATTAATATTCTTCACTTTTATATTTTATATTACAAAATTATTTTCAAAATATAATGAAATTAGTGCAAGAAATTTTATTAAAAAAAAAAAACAGTGAGAAAAGAATTGAAATTCTTAAAATACGGGAATATTAGCGGAGCAAATTGTAAAAGAATTCAAATTCCAAATTGTTTTTTGACCGACTTCAAATAGCCTTTCAACTTTATTATTTTAAATGAAATATTGCAGCCTAAAAAGATTATTGGACTTATATTTTGGAACCAATCAAATGCACTTGTAAAATTGCATTCTAAAGGTTTAAAATAAGAATTCAGATTTTTTTTTGCAAAGTTCGTGCCCTTTTCCTTTAGATTCAAAACGCTTTTCAAAATATTATGAAATTGAATATTTGATCAAAATTTTTATATAAACCACCTTGAAAGCAACACTTTGCCTAAGGCAATGCAGTTTATGTAAATTGGAACTATTTCCATTTATATTATATGCAGAAGATTTTATTAGTTTGTTAATTTATACTTGAATATAATTAATAAGTTAAAAGCAGCAATAATCATAAAATTCAATCTTAAAGGCTCAGTTTGAAAAACAAAAAGGTAAAAATGTAAAATTAAGGATTATTAAATTTAATCTCAAAATATTTACTTTTTATAGCAAAAATTTAAAAATTTTTTTAAAATTATCCTGAAGGTATGCAATTTTTTCAGTAATTATTTTTATTGACGCTAAATATTACAATTGACTAAACTAACCACATATTACAATTGTTAACGGAAATGTAATGAAAAGATAATTATTAAAAGAGATGAAATTGGCTATAACAAATTCTGGACCTTAATTAAAAGCAAAAATTATATGATCAAATAAAATTTACGGTTCGGGGTGTATAACTTTTTATAATATTCACTATATTATAAATTTTTTTTTTCAAGTAAAAAAAGTCGACATTTTTTCTTAATTAATAAGATTCTTGAATCAGAATTTGAATGGTGGTTTACAGGGTAGAGTGCCTGGTCAGTTTTAAATAAAATCAAATTAACAAATAAATTTTATGAATTTAAATTTTACAATTATGCTATGATTATTACAATATTAATTTTTATGCTATGACTAAATTACAATATTTGTAATTTTTACGAGGTGTACTTAAAATATAATTTTGAAATGTAAGAAAGAGAGAAAAGGAGCCTTAGTTTTCTTTGAAAATTTTTAAATTTCATATTGAAAATTTATAAAAATGCAAAAAAAAAACAAAATTGTGAGTTTATAATTTTCTTATTAAATTTTTATAGTTTTTTTTTTTTTTATTTAACATTTTATTAATTGAAATTTGCACACGTTTTTTACACGATTCTACTGAACTGACACTTGCAGATATTTTTTTGTTTAAATATTTTTTTATTTATAATAACGGTTTTTTTTTTTGTTTACAATTCAATGAATTTATTATGAATTTACTATTTTTATTTTTTTTTTTGTTTTTTTATTAATTTCTTCTTTATTTTATAATATTTTTAATAACTACATACATACATATATTCAAATGTTTTACAATTACATAATTTTTTTTTTCTGTTTTAATTTAATATTTAAAAAAATTTTCAATAAAAAACTTTACTTATGACTAAATTTTTACTTGCTGTTTTTTCTTATTTTTTTTTTTTGCAAATTATTTAAATTTTCTGCTTTAATTTTTTTTTATATTTGGTTTTCACCGTTATTCTTATTAATAAGCTCATTAATAATAAATTATAGTAGTAGTTGTTTCTGTGTAACTGTGTTAGTTTTATTATATTTTGGCAAAATATATTTTAATGTAAACAACTCTATATTTCTGTCTCTGTCTTCCCTAATATTTGTTTTAATTTTATCTATTTATTTTGTATATTATGTGAACAGTGCGCTTAAATTTTTTTTTTATTTTATCTTAATACATATATAAATACTTAATAATTTCATGATCTTTAATAAAAATGAATTCGTCCTAAATGTTTTACATAATATGGAGATTTTTTTCTTTTTATTTACTTGGTTGTATATAATTAAATTATAGTTAAGATATTGTGTGGAATACATATATATATATATATATATATATATATATCTATACCGGTTATATATATACATATAAATATTTTATAATGCATTTATGAAGACAATTTTAATTACACAAGGTGTTTATATACGAAATTTTTTTTGTTTTTTTTTTGGAAATTTTTGAATATTTTCTTAATTTTATTTTTATTTTTTAATTATTTTATTTAATACATAGATGCATTATTTTTTTTTATTTTTTTTTGTTTTTAATTTTTTTTTTTATATTGAAATTTTATATTATTGTTAATTTTGTTTTTTTTTTTTTTAAATTTGAATTATATTTTTAAACACTTTGCGCCAGTGATTCTTTTTGTACTGAGACGACAGCTGCGGTCATTGTTTCATCCAACATGGGTTGTGGAGGAAGTAAAAGCTGTGGTGTGGTTAACAATTGTAATGATCTAAGCAAAAAATTATAACTAATTTGTTTTAATTTTTATAAGAATAATAATAAATAAAGCAATAAATAAAGAACAGATTTTTTTTTTCATAGTGTTATAGACAACAATAATTAAAATAAAATTTATTTTCGCTTTTTACTTCAAAATTTATTAAGTTTTTTAAATTTTGAGTTTTATTTTAAAATTAAGTAATTAAATATAGTCGACATGCTGGCCAATGATATTATGAGGAGGAATATAAAGAAATTTTACAAAAGATCAAAAGACTATATTTATTGAAAATTTTATAATTTTTCCATATTTCAATTTTATTTTAAAAGGACTTGATAGTTGAAATTTTCAAATTCATGTTAATAGAAGAGAAATTTTGTAGAATAACGTATTTATAAAAGAGATTTATTTATTTATTATAAATTAATTCAATATCAGCAGATTATACCAAAAAAAAGTATTTCAATTGTAATTGGTAATTTAACAAGCATGCAATGTACTTATTGAAATACATTAACTTAAATGCCGTCCCTATATTAACACTCTTAATTCTTTTATACTTCATTGAAACAAAATTTTGTTCTTGGTTATCTTAATTTTTTATTTTCGATATTTCGTTTTGATTTCATAACGTGTAATTTTTTTTTCATAAAAATTAGTCAATTTTTTTCTAAGTACATATATTTCATTAGTGAGCTTTCCAGATATTACAGAGAATAGATGTAGACTTCTTCACTTCATTATCCGTGAAATATCACTTGCACAAACTAGGCAAATTATTGCGACAATATACAAACACTGGCTGCGGTGGTTGGAGGGAAATTCTTTTGCCCATATTTTCATATACCTACAATCTCATCTACAAACGTCCGGTTACATTTTGTCTTATTCGAGTTACGTATTTCATTAAAGGCTATGTTACAAATGGATTGTATAATACATTCATAATAAATGTAGGTATATAAAAGTACAATACGGTTATATAAATAAAGCAATTATAGTCCTTTATATAGTGTCCCTTTGTTATGAATTTACTATAAATCCTCATCTTATACAATATTAAAAAATAATTGCCAATTTCATATTTAATTCATAGATTTATAAAAATGTATTGATAAAAAAAAAGATTTTAAATTAACAAAAAAATTATTAAATCTCATACACATCAACTCATGAAGCGCAAAAAAAAAAGTTCCATTTTTTGCTGATTTTCACTCACAAATTACAATTTACGATGAAAAAATAAAAACAATGGGAAATGGTGGTACTATTGATTTATTCAAATATTTCTGTGTATATAGAATGTGGGTGATTTTTTTTTATATTGAGATTTTGTTTTTTTTTTATTTTTCTTTTTAAATCATTTTTAATGATTAAATACAAATTTTAATTAAGATGTAAATTTTACATCGAAATATATAAAAAAAAAAATAAACTCAATTAATCCTCCATTTAATTTGAGAATTAATAAAACACAATAAAAGGAAATTAATTAACAAATTGGGAATAAACGGATATTACAGTTTCATTTGATGAAAACTGTACAAGGATACATGGAAATATTATTTAATATTTTTATTTATTTCCAGTTAAATTATTAAATTACAGTTTCTATGTAAGGATATTGAATAGTAATACGAATTACTGCAGCTATAAATCATAATGTACTTATACATTATAAGAATCCTTGAAAATGTCCTTGAAATTGATAACTTACAGCTTATTCAAAAGTTATTATAAAGTGTATAATTTGTGTATATACGCTTATATTTCCTTATAATTGAGATAAAATAAAATTGGATTCATTTAATGTTCATTTCTGTTGACTAAGTTACAATATAAAAGTTCTGGATCAGCTGCACTTTTATTTCATTTAAAAATTTAGCTCTTTAAAAGTAATAAATTTGAATTAAAATGAAAGGAAAAGGTCCTTTAAAAAAACAAAAAAACAAAAAAAAACTTTATATATAGGAATTATTTACATTTTATGTAAAAAAAATAAATAAATAAAAAATGAAAAAAATCATTAAAAACAAAAAGGGATTAATTGAATTTTTATTATCAAGAAGGGAGGACGAGTTATCGATTTTTATTATATCGTTCCTTTAGCGATGAAATTTCAAATGACACCTGCCTATGATAAATACGTTAATTTTTTTTTCATATTACTTAAATTTATTTTAATAATAAAATTTTTGTATATATTTAATGTAAAGGAGTGCAATGAGTAAAAATTTATTTTATACCTTTAGAAATTGTCATGATTGTCACTATATTTGGTTCCAGGTTTAGCCTGTTGTTTATTACGGATTCTGATGTTGAATGGCAGTCGGTTTGATAGTATTAAATAATATTGTTAGACAATGATTACCATTCCACTTTCGCGGTACGTATATATTTAATTACAATTCTCCTTAATTACTAAGCATAAAGCACAAGAATTTCGAACTTTTACTAAACTGTTAAATGCAGGACAATATTGTATCTTATAAAATCAACTTGTTTTACTCTTTTATACAGGGTGATTCTGAAAGTTGTACAACAACATATACCATTGGTAAGAAGATCAAAAATGGGTAAAACTTTTGTTCCGAACTGGGTGCCAAATCTCAAGGGTTTCCGAGTTCCAGGAACTTTAATCAATTTTCACGAAATTTTTACTTATCCAAGTTTTTTTGATTATTTCTGCGTTCCGAAAAAAAAGGAACTTTAAACAAACAGTTTCTGAAGGGTAGTTATTTTGATAAAAAATATGAATTTCAATCTTTTTATTGAGATGTAACAAATTGAAAAACAAAAATTGAATTTAAAAAATTTAAAATTTTTGAAAAGAAAAACTAGAATTTTGTATTACGAAAAACAGAAAAAAAAAATCTAGTCATCAAAAAATTTTTTTCGAAACTTTTCTTGGTAAAGAAAATTGATAGGTTTTTAATTTTTGCCAGTTTTTATAAGAAATGGTACCTATATGGTTTGAAATTTTTAAATGCATTTTTCTCAGATTCGGTGCAATTTAAAAATTTGAAAAAAATATTTTCGAAATCTAGACATTATTTGGCATCTAAAGTTATTAAAATTAACCAGCTGGAGCGAATTTTTAAAGACATGCCATATAAATTTGTTGTGACATTTGTTTAAATAGAAAAATTTTTTTTTTTAATACGAAAATTTAATTTTTACCCATTTGCGATCTTCTAACCAATAGAATATATTGTTGTATAACTTTCTAAATCACACTGTATATACGGGGTGATCCGTATCAAAGTACACTGCTATATACAATTGTATAGGATCTCATGAATAGACAAGACTTTTGTATATGGAAACGATGTTCAACAGGTTCAGAGTTAAAGGGGGACTTAAAGTTAATTTTGACTGATTTTTCTTTTTACGTTTAGAAAACAATTTCAATTGTTTCAAAATATGTTGCTCTTTCTAAAAACAAATTTAAGATCGTTTTTCTTTAAAATACAAAAATTTCATTCTGAACTGTTATTAAAATGCAATTAGACTATTAAACTTCCTTTTACTTTCTCTTTTGAATTTCATTACAACCAAAATTTTAAGATAAAATCTAATTAAAAAATAACAGCAGAATCTATAATTAAAAATGTTTTCTAAAACAAAAGAGAAAAAATATTGTTGGTGGGGATCCTAAGAGTCTTTTTTTTTTGTTTCTTTATTATAAATTAATTGAAATGTATCTGAATTAAAAAGTTTTACAAATTAGAAAAGAATTTTCAAGTAATTATAAAAACAAAAACTTTTTGTTATTATGATTTTTTTTTTAATGAATGCATATATGAGTTTAGACATACACACAGTGTACCAAGAAATTTAAATTTTTTTAAGTCGTTCAAGAAAATAGAGTTTGTAAAGAGTTAAGGAATTGGTGTGGGCCGTATGTTTGTAAATTTAATAATGTCGCGAAAAATTTAAATGGTCTTAATCAAATACAGTAATTTTCTAAATTTATTGGCTTTTAAAAAAAATAGGGTTCGCAGAGCTTATTTTGATCAATTTGAAGTTTTTTTTGCTTGACTTATAATGTACCATCAGTTTTGCTTGGTTGGTTAGTGAGTTGGCAAAATCATTTTGATTGTTATCAATGAGATATTGGACACCATAGAGTATGCTTTTATAAAAAATAATTACGATTTGGTTACCGAAAATCCAAAAAATACAACTCAATTTCAAGTCAGCTTTATTATTTAAAATGTATTGAGTGTCCTTTTATATTAATACAAAAAATGTTTTATATAAGCGTATTCAATTTAACAATATAACAATTTTTATAATAGAACCTTCATTATTTAATATAGGTAATCTCTCGGAAAATTATGATGTAGACTAAATAGAATTTTTCATTTCTTTTTCCAGTTTAATTCAAATTTTGTTTTTCCAAATTTCTATATAACTTCTAATGAGATCAACCCTGGTTCATAAAACGAAATTTTGCCGACAGTTTTTAATTTTTATTAAATATGAGAACTTTTTAATTGTCAATATGAGACTTTTTTTTTGTTTTGATTTTGATTAGGGGCTATTAGGACTCAATTTATGACTTTTTTTTTTGGTGAATTTTCTCAACTTTTCTATTTATATTAAACTTTTTTAAACATAGGACTTTTATAACAAAATTTTTTTTTGCTGTTTATTGTTGTTTTTTTTTTTGTTTTCTTGAAAAGAAATAAATAAAAAGTGACTTTTGTTGTTTATTTTTTATTTCGTTCTGTTTAAAGATGTTTACAATTATTGTAAGGTATGCGAGAAACATTCTTACGTTTAATATAGAAAAATTAAATACAATTATTTTAAGACGAAAATGAGAGAAACGAGAGAATTTCCAGTTACTGTTGGGAAAATTTGCATGTTAAATTAACTATTCGGAGAATTAGAAAGCTTTGTAGAGTAGAATAGAAAATACTCTTTGTAAATAATCCAGCTTAGTGAATGTATTTCTGTTAACATCATTCAAAAAACGTATATTAAGCTTTTCTGATTAAAATTTGATGTGCGGTATAACGCAAAACTAATCCAATGCATTCCGAAGAAAATACATTAATATTATAAATTTAAAAATGAATTGGACAAAATATAATATTTTTGACTCTATTCTTCTTATAAAAATTTTCCTTTGTAAATCTGTTAACACATTATGAGCCGGCGGCCTAGCATAGGCAACAACGTTGCGTAGCGGGCGAATATACAATGTATACATCCGCATACATATAAAGTTTGAGCCCTATTACTCAAAAAATAACAAGTTTTTGAAAAAAATATAAGAATTCAAAAAAAGGTCTAGAATAAGTTTCTACATCCATATTGCTATAAATTAAGTGACAACGTACACACAAGCGGGTTCTAGTACCCGACCTGCTCATTATGTGTTAATATTTATTAAATATTCAAATAAATTTTGGTATTCTTATAAAATCCTTAATCTTAATATTGTACATTATAAACATAAATGTAATATGATAGCCGCGATTCATTTTAAACTAGAAAAATCATTTGAAGAGTTTTTATTATAATATTATTTTTTCAAAAAAATTTTTGATTCATATTTTTGCTTTAATACATCGAAAGTTGAAATTTCTAATGGAATCTGTCAGAAACAATTTGGATAAACAGTTTTTGAGAAAGGACACAACAAAAAAATATATACATCCATACACATTATATTTATATATCTTTGTATGAATGAAGAAATGTGATCCTTAATCATTTATTTTTATTTTTATTTTTTTTTTTGGTATAAGGATGGGTTTTTTATAATTCATAAATCTTTGATCTATACAATAAAAATGAATGTGTAGATATCGTAAAAATTTTACTTTAAAAAAAATGGAGAATTTAAAGTGTGATGTGGAAGAGAAATGTAATGTTTATCATGGGTGGTTCAGAAAAAACTTGTGAGCTGGTTAGTGTGTTCTTTATTAAAATATGTTAATTTTTTCATGGCCAAGACGAAGCCTGCATTTTAGTTGTCATTTAAAGAAAAATGTTGCTTTTAATGGGCAATTTATTATTTTTGTTGTCTTACATTGCATTTAAAAATTTTTACTTTATTTTCAAAATTAAAAATATTAGTTTATTTATTATTTTTTTTATTATTTCTTTAAAATTTATTTGAAATATTTTTTGTGCGTTTTAAAATTATTTTTATAACTTACTCATGTACTGAAGGTCCAGCATTTCTTATGGGATGTATACTTTGTGAATTTTTAGCTCGGGCTAATAATGTCATCACAGTTCGTTTGGTTGGATTCATGCTTGATCTGGGTACACCAAGTAAAGGTCTTTTACGAGCTAAACTTCCTATAATTTTTTTTTTATTTTTTTATAACATTTTTTTTTTGTCATGGTGAAAAAAGTAAAAGTTGAAGGTGGATTTAAAATAAAATTTTTTATATTTTTTCTTTTAGTATATAAAAAAATGTAAATTTTTTTTTATGTGGCTTCTTTAAGAGAATTGTTAATAAATAAATTAAAAAATTACAAAAATAAAAACAGAAAATAAAATAATAACATTTTAAAAGCTTTCGCTTATTCAAAGCGACTTATTAAGCAAAAAAAAAAATATATCCTCTTAAATAATTTATAAATTTTACCGAATTAAAAAGATAAATTCAAAAAAAAAGAGAATGAGAAAAATAGTAGTAAAAAGAAACCCAAGAAAAACAAAAGAAAATAAAATTTTCAATTAACCTCTTAATGCTGGATGAAGTAGAGCACCTGGTGGTTCCAATAATGCTAATGGTGTCGTTGTTTCAGCTTCACTTGGTATACCAAGTGTTGCTTGCGATGGCGGTAAACCGGTAACCGCTGCAACACCAGTTGCAGGCTTAATAATGCCCATACCAGCTGTAGCTAATTGATGATGTAAGGCTGCTGCAACAGCTGCCGGATGTATTGTTTGGGCTGGCAAATCAATATGCAGAGGATTAGTAAAATTATTATAGTTGATCATTGACGTGTTCATATTTCTATCGAACTCACTATTTATACTATTTGCTGCCGCCGCAGCTGCTGCTGCAGCCGCTGCTGCAGCTGCCGCTGATGATGTATTATTCCCATTTAAATGTGTTTGAACATGATTTTGTTGTTGCTGTTGTTGTTGATTTTGTTGTTGTTGCTGCTGTTGTTGCTGTTGTTGTTGTTGTTGTTGTTGCTGTTGTTGTTGTTGATGTAAAGTTGATGGATTTGAAGATGATGAAGCAGCGGCTGCCGCTGCTGCAGCAACAGCTGCTGCATTTACAGAATTTGTTAATTGATCTGCTGCATTAATTGTTGCTATACTAGAACAATCCATTATTTCACTATTTTGTTTCATATTTGTACAATCCATTGTTGCATTTATTGTATCGTCAAGTAAACCATTTGTCGGACTATTTTGTTCACCAGTTTCTGTTGGTGATGATGTTAATGCTTGCATTTCCCACATTTGTTCTTGTCGAATATCATCGTGATAATCCTGCAAAAAGAAATTAATACAGAAGAATTAATAAAGAATTCTTTTTTGTCAGAATTATTATTTTTTTTTATAATAAATAACTAAAATGGAGGAACAATTGTTACAAAATCACATGATGACTATAGAATTATAAATTATATTTTATATAGATTGAATTGATTTATATATTATATAAGACGATTTAAATAAATTGTATATTGTGAAATTAAATAATTGAAGAATTAAATATTATCCTTCTATTGTTAAACATTGGGCCGAAAAAAATGAAATAAAGAAAATTGTTTTAATAACACTTTTTATAGAATAGTGAAACTAATAAAATAATACAGAAAGAGAAGAATTTATTTCATATTTTAAATCAGCTTCCTTTTCACTGAACTCTCGTTAAAAAGAGGATAAACTATTCTTATAGGTTAAGAGTTAAAATAAGCAACAATGATTGGTGAAATGTGACAAGAATAAAATACGAAAATTTTTTAAAAATTAATTTTAAAAAAAAATTAGCAATTTTTATACAATTTCGACTTAGTAAGTCCCTTTTATAGCAGGTCCTTATTAATGTTTTCAACTACTTCGCTTTTAATAGTTCTGTCCGATGCCTGTGTTTTATTACTTGAAGTTGAAATCACACGAATTGTATAGTAATTTCATTTGCATAGTTATTTGGAAGATGAAAAGTATTAGGTAAAAGTAATTTAATTAAAACCATTTCAGCAATTAAAACGAAAAATTTGTCCTTGATCCTTTAGTTTGTTATGCAATAAACGAGTATTTTGTAAAATTAGCGATGTCAATTAATTTTTGAGCGAAAAATGTAAATTTTCAATAATATAATTTGTATGTGACTGCACAATAACTATATTGTAATTAATATCTAGGCGGCAGATAAATATTTTCGTATTATTTCATTTAATGACATCAAATTAATTACGTCATTTAATGTGCTGGCTGTGTAAGATAATAGTTGTATTGCAGTTTTCGGTGACTACAAAATTTATTTGTTCGGCATTTCTGTTGATGATTCGGCTTTGTAGAAATTTTTACATTGTGATATTATGATGCGAAAAGACATTAATTGAATATAGACGCTTATAATTTGAAACTTTTAAAAATTATTTGTGAGTAACAAATTGTTTTAGATATTTTGTATAATATTGCATACTTTAAGGTTCTAAGCTTAAATATTAACAAAATTTTTTTGGAAAGAAAAGAAAAACAAGTTATTGGAAGCAATGTGTTCAGCAAACTGTGCTTTAGAATTTGATCTGCGATAGAAAATTTGATTTACGACCCCCATTCTTTTAAAATTTTTAAAAATTTCTTTTAAAAAAATAAAATTAATATATTAGAAATCATTATGACAAAATTTTTTTTTATTTGTGTTAGTAAATATATTTTACCCATATTACATAGAAAAACTTATATAGAATCCCTTAACTATACTCGTATTAAAATTTAATGTTCTGTTAAAAATGTTTACATTTAGTAGAATAATTTGTTGGAAATCAACAACCGAAACTTAATTGATTTTAATATAGAATGGGCACTGGAGTAAGACAGTCTCTTAATGAATTTAATATTTTAACAAATTTATACGTACATAGCTACATACATTATATAAAATATTAAAAATATAAGATTGAAAGATTATAGAAAAAGAAATTTTGATTTTTAACTTAATTATAGAAATTTCATGTTAAACTGTTTTGAATATGTTCCGGTTTTTGGTCACTTAAATTCGTTAATGTCCATTATCCACAATATAAAGAATAATTAATATTAGTACAACTTTTAATTTTTAATTTATATTCGTGTTTTCTTTAGTGAATTTAAAATTTTTGTAAGTTTCGCCATGAATACATTTTAATTTTGAAGAATTCTCTAATAATATTTTTTTTATTTCTTTGATCTTTTATTATTTACAGAAAAGCAAGTGTAATATCTGGATACACTTATTTTTAAACTCAAAGGCAGATTGTTTTTAAAAATTATTGAAAAGTTAAAATTCTTTAATTGATTGTTAATTTAAATATGGTTAAAAACAAAGAATTTTATTAAATTTCCAACATCAAATATTTTTAAAACTTTCTAAATAAGCAAGTGGGACTAATATTTGAGCAGAAAATGCAAAATAACTGTGAACTAATACAAAATAAGCCGAATCGAGACTTGTACATTATTCTATTTCCGAATTCCTTACCATTCTAATGCCCAATAGAAATTGAAGCTGTTTGGGAGCTAAAAAAAAGAATGCGACAGTTTTAGCATGAATGTAATGACTATTAGCCTGGACAAGTACTTTTACCATGAATGCTATGAGTTAAATGCAAAATTCGGCGAATTGTTTGAGTGAAATTGTTTAAAGTCAGAGAATAACTCTTGGTCTTGCCTTCACAATGGGAATATTCAGCTTAACATTTAGTATATTGAACTTGAATATGTAGATTTTGTACCAATTTGGATTTTGATAATCTTTTCCTCTTCCCTTCAATTATAATACCTAAAAACTATCATTAATCTCTTATGGTTTAAAAAAACTGAAGCTACAATTTCTTGGACTTTTCGAATAGCATAAAAATGTAATCTATTGTAAAATATTGCATAGTATGTATATGCATGAATAATATGATACATAAACTTTAATAATCTATGAGTTATATTTACGTGCATCCAGGATGTATAATCAAATAAGATTCTTTTAATAAACATTTGTTTTTTCATTAACTTTGAGTAATGATTCGTATTTATGTTTTCAACCATTTATTAACCATCTTGAATAAATAATATTATATTTTTGACAATATTTTTTATTATTTAACTTATATTTAAGTTTAATAACCATATTTACTACAATATACATATATATATAGCCATTCCTAATAATAAAAATCTTATATACAATATACAGTAGGTGTAGAGGAATATGTGTATACAGTTTTAAGACAAAAAGACATAAAATATGTTTTTTTTTTTTAGTATTGCCCGTCAGTTGTCATTAATATCAAAATAAAACTATTAAAATAATATAATGTCATTAAATGAGGGAATTATTATTATATATAACTATTAAGTATTATTATTATTATGAATACCTTATATATAAATGTTTGCCATATACAAATATATATATTAAATTATTAAGTTCAAGGATAATATAGAAAAAAAATTGTTCTTATCAGCACATAACCGATAGTGTTTGAAAATATTTTTCGAAATGTTGTCGAGTACAGAAACCTTTTGTTAGTTATTTACTTCCTCCAACTCAATTGTCTTAAGTAGTTTGTTAATCAGTTCCGTTAAGGAAAAGAGCGTAATGATTATATTGTAAGAATGTTTGTTTATTATTTTGTTGAATACTGTAGGAAATGTTAACAGGGGCGCCTCATAAATGCACTGTTTTCATTTAAAAACTTCGTGGTTTATTGTTTTTGTTATGGAATCAAAAAATTTAATATCTTACCGTGGCTTATCGTAGCTATCGAATATTATATTTGAAGAAAACCATTTATTATTTCTTTCATTTTGGAATTAAGAATTTATACATAGATAAACGGTTAGAATTTTAAATGTGTGGCATAGTAAGTATTAGGTTAACTGTCTCGGTTTTTAAAAAAAGATTTACCGGTTGCAGCATATGTGCTAGATTTTAGAACAAAAACTTTTATGTAGTAAAATTTTAGATATTATAACTACATAAATAAATAAAAATTTAGACACTATTATAGTACTAGTGTTATATTTCTAAAATACGGTGAAGAGAATTTCCGGGAAAAGTAAAATTTAAAATTTTTTGGCGCGATCACAATACTTCCTTGTTATAGGCAGTAGGATCGATAAAAACTACATGCTATTATGTAAGTTATAGTAATAAATAAAACATTGAATTTATATTATAGCTACCATTATCTTTAAATTCGTTATAATAGTACAGACAGAAATATACAGCACATTTTTCTTCACCACAAAATGATCTTTTTAGTTACAATTTCAATTTTATTAGTTTTTCAATTCAGGTTTATTACAAGAAATTTTTTTTTTTTTTTGAAAGAATCTTATTTTATTTTAAGATTTTTCTTTGTTATTGTGAATGTTATAAAATGAGGTTTTTAGTTTTACATATAGAATATTGTTGTTGAATGGAATGAGCGAATAAAAGTGTGCCATTAAGAAATATAAGTTATACATTTATATATACATACCTTTCATTTTATATGGTTTATTTTTGTGGTAATAAAAACTGCTATAGAGCCATAATGTGCGTATATGTGTATATGAATAGTTAAGAAATTACGAAGCGGTTCAGTAACATTTAAAATCGCAAAATAAACGTAAAAAAATAAAAAGCATAACGAATCAAAAAAAAAAAATTAAAAATTAAGACATGAAATGAAATGTTTTTCTTTTCTTCTTTTTCTTCTACATTTTCTTTAATATTTATTTATTTATGTCCTTGTTTTGACATTTTTCTCTATAATATTTTTATTTATTTACTTATGCAAATAGAGATATTATAAATACAAATTATATGATATACATACAAGTATGTGTGTGTATGTCCATAGTTTCAGATGGAAAAGTCCTTGAAAAATATTCGTGAGATAGTAAGCATACATACCTACGTACACACATAAATTATATATTGCTTCATTTACACACATAATTAAAATGAATATATTGAAGACTAAAACTTATACAGAAATTAAGATGATGTTTAATATTCTTAATAGTTGGAATTTTGTAGAATATTTTTGTATATTAAAAGATGACATGATTTCATTTATAAACACATACAACTATTACATAATATTAAGATACAAACAATGATACCGAATTTATAAGGAAAATAACATTAAATGAATTGTTCTGAAACGTAAGATTTAAAAAATTTTGAAGAGAAAAAAAAATATACATGTGTATTTTAAATAAATTTCCGGTTTATAAGCTCTAATATAAACGTATTATCTAAATATAACATTCTATTTAAATAATTTAATTCAGTA